CCTGCTTGTTTAACAGACTCTAGTATTTCGCCAATTTGTAAATCCATAACTTTAACTTGGTTTAAATAATCCGTGGAGCCAAATTCATGCTGATGTCCGTATTCATCAACATCGGTCAAGTGAACAAATAATAATTTTGTATCCTTATTTTTGGGATTGAAAATATAATTTTTTCACTTGAGAAACTGTAGCATGGCCGTAGATGGAATTTTTTAGCCATTGATGATTGAATTGTAACCACCATAGATATAAAAAATTTTCGTGAGTTAAAGGAGAATAAAGATCCATTTTGCTGCTTGCCGAATATTCAATAAGACTAGTAATAATTGGCGTCCAACAAACATAAAAGGCTATTTTGGCATTCTCATCATTTTTAAAAATTATTTGGTAATACTAAGGTAATGACTATTTTCATTTAAAAATTTTTTTTTTTCAGCGTCACCGTTATTTAATGCAAATTTGTGTCTACCAACCCCATGAAGCATAGAAATCCAATTGTAAGCTGAAGGCTTGAGAGCTTCGACTCGGAAGGAACGAGCTCCCAAAGTAAAAAAATTCCAAAAATTCGTTAATTCTTCATTAATTTCAACACAGCGACCGAGTGCGTCTAAGGCGAGAACTAATACTCTTTTAACATTTGATTGAACCATTTTTATTCGGGATCTCTTAAGAATAATTTTTTTTAAAAACTGTAAATCACAACATATTTTGTTTTTTATTTCTGTCTAGACTCCGTCTCTCAAAGATGCCATCAATTGAATAGTAATAAAATATTAGTAATTTTTTACCACGATTGAGTGTTACTTTTGAGAAGTGTCCAGAGTTGACTGAAATACGCCGTACCCATAATAAGATTACAAAATTCGAAATTGTAGATTATCTATAACTTACCAATGTTAGTCTTTTCCTCAATTAAAGTCTAATACCACTTTTTTATGGTTAAAAGTCCAGATTATGCGATTTCAACGATTTCCTATTGTTAAAATAATATAAACCAAATTGAATTCGCATAATCTGAACACACTATAAAGTACTATATAAATAATTCAACGTACTATGTGCTACTATTCACGACAATATAAAAATACCAACATTTCTACATTTCATTAATCAATTACTACTGTACTTGACCAATGAATGAAATCAAAAATGAACTCCTTGAATATTTACAAAACGATATTAATTCCGTTAAAACATTAACATATAAAATTAACTCTGAAATACCAAATAAAAAACTAAATGTTTATACTTTTCTTGACTCACGCGAAACATACATAACTGAAATCTACAAAAACGGACTCAACCTAAAAATAGATATATTAACATACCAAGATCACTTGAACACAGAACGTGATTTTATAACTGAATTACACCAAAGCCATACTCGCATTTCATCGGTTAATCGGATTGAAAGACATGGTAACACATGAAAACATAATGATAAATTTGATAACGAAATGAACGACATTAAATCCTTTAACAAAAGAGACGATTTTTTTTTTTAGCAGAAAAAGAAAGCTATGAATTTAATGAAAATGCATTAAAATGTTTCCCACCCCTTTCTTCAACAAATGTCGTTTGTCGATTGTCTCAAATCCTACCAAACATATCGATATCGCATCACAGCACTCAATGGTATACGCGATGATGAATAGATTCAATTAGCAAAATCTTCATGATACAGCTTGCCAAAACTTAACTTGCGTCGATAATAAAAACAAAGCACTTGAGTTATTATCAAATGTATTCATTTCAACAATCTATACGTGATGGTGTTACGAGCCAAAGACAATGCTACAGTCAAATAACAATACAATACGTACTTTTTTTATCAATTACTTACAGTATTTTTCTAATCATATGCAGTCGTAGTCAATATGTAAGCTTGAGTTTTACTTTAGTAAATTTTTTAAAAAGTTTGTGTTATTTTATTGTTCATTTATATTATTATCATAAGTACATATAGTTTTTTACGATGTAAACGTAATGTAAAATTTAAACTTAATCACAATAAATCCTAAATTTCAAATTTCATAGAGATGTGACCGCTATCTATTGATATCCAAATAATAGTACCGCATCTGTCCGGTAAAAAATGCAAAAAATAAAAGCGAAGCATATCTGTACATATAAGTTAAAGATTATTGCTTAATATAATCATAAGATTAAATTATTTCACTTCGAGATAGTAACTGTTATTCATTGAATATCTAAATCCTATAGATGTAAACCCTTATCCAACATGTTACACAATTGATTACCATCGTATGTTGGGTGTGGAACATCAAAGCAAAGTAATCGGGGATGTTAAAAGTATGGTCCGGTCCGACTTGACTTTCATACATTAACGAAAATTTCGAGAAATAATATCCGTGTGTATACTCATATGTACATATAGAAACTCAATCAATTTGGGCGTTTCATATAAAAATTTCAAGTAAATCGAATTGAAATGATCATAAATAAAGACATACAAAATTTATACAATTAGCTTCCATTACTTATAGAAACTTTTTTTTATTTAATATATGTCGATCCAAAAATCCAATAAAAAATTGTCAAAGTGCCATTTTAATATAAAGCATTAATTGAATACTGAGTAGCAATAGAAAGCCTTGTAGATGGACATGTCATTTGACCTATAAGGATAAAAAGTGGGAAATAAATAAGATGAAAAAACCTTAGGACGCCTGGAACAAAAGGATTCATTAATAATTCTGTCTCCAGACTTTGCTAGTTCTTCTTTTAAACAATCTTTGTTACAGCAAAGTTCATAACAAGAATTAATCTGATTGGAACTGTCTTCTGTAAATTTGTTTTCTGCTTTAAGGGCCAATTGATTCCCACTGAGAGTTAAAACTAATAGGGAGGCATTTTTATTAAGAGAATCTAATAATGCCTTTCCTCCTTCAAACATAATACCATTATTGCTAATATCTAAAAAAGTCAATGTATTATTCTTGCAGGGACTTCTGCTATTGCCTTTCCTCCTTCAACACCAATTCCGTTATTCTCAAGATTGAAATGAGTTATAGTGTTATTTTTGTAAAAAACCTCTGCAAATGCTTTTCCTTCTTCAGGACCAAGTTGATTGTAGCCGAGATTTAAATAGGTCAAATTAATGTTTTCGCAAAGAGCTTCAACGAAAAATTTTGCACCTTTAGGACCAAGAGTATTGATACTAATGTCCAAAGAAGTTAAAGTATTATTCACGTAAAGAGCCTCAATCAATGCTTTTGCACCTTCATGGTCAAGATGGTTGCCACTAAGATCCAAGGAAGTCAAGGTATTATTCCTGTATAGAGCCATTGCTAATTCTTTTACACCTTCAGAACCAAGCTGATTCCAAGCAAGATTCAAAGATGTTAAAGTGCAATTATTATAAAGAAACTCCGCTAAAGCCTTTCCAACTTCAAAACCAAGTTCATTGCGAGAAAGATTCAAAGATGTCAAAAAGCAATTTCTGCAAAGAATTTTTGCTATTGTTTTACCACTTTCAGAGTTAAGATAATTTCCAGTAAGATTCAAAGTCAAAATGGGGTTTCTACAAAGTGTTATTACTAATGTTTTTACTTCTTCATAAATGAAAAAGTTATTAATAATGTCCAAAGAGGTTAAACTCGTATTTGTACAGAGAACTTCCACTAATAATTTTCTCATTTCTTCAGAAAAAGTATTGTACTCAAGTTTTAGAGAAGTTAGATTTGTGTTTATATTAAGGATTTCTATCGTCTTGCTGTCAATATCTCC